GAGTCTATTGGATCAGATAATTCTCAGCAATGACATTGTACCATAATCATTGAAATAGCACTAAAACTACTGAACACTGTGTGCATTCAGTGACAGTCTAAAATACAACTGGAAGAAATGATCAATCGTATAAATGCTAGAGTACACTTTTATCCTTTTTTAGTTACTGGATGGGCCCCTCCCAGCTTTATTCAAAATATCCCCTTTACTAATATACAAACTGAGATGTTTAATTTACCATAGAACTAAAGCTTTACTCAAGCCTAGATATCAGGGTGAACAGTGATTAAAATAAGTAATAATTAAATAAGCACATAATTAAAGTCTATCTGCTTCATTAGACTTTAGGGAGGAACTCTAGGGCCACCTACTGGCCATCTACGGGAGTTACATTGATATTACTTTGCTTAATCATCTTTAACTCTATACTGGCATATAACAGACAGAAGTAGGATTGCTTACCCTATTTTAATATATTTTTTGCTATAAGGTTAGATTTTATGCATAAATATATTAAAAGTTAAGTTTTATTATTAGACCCATAAAGATTATTTTGATACAATTACTTACCCTCTGGTGACACCTACTGGTAGGTGTTTGGTTTAACACTTTTTTATTTTTTTCATCCGCCAAATGCTGACTAGTAAAATTAGCTCACCCCCTTCCACCTATCTTACTACTCTCAGACCGGAACCTATTACTGAGCAGCCTTGCCGAAGCCCCATACTAACCCAACAATTGACTGTCACCCTTCCATCCCGACATTGCCAGATGCCTCTCCGACTTACACCGGGCCCAACACATGTTGATGAAAATGGCCAAATACAACGGGCAGATCCAGTGTTTGTCTATGTCCCCTTCACCACAACTGATCTATTCAATTGGAAGACTCATAACTCTTCATATACCAACAAACCTCAAGTCATGACAGATTTGGTTACCTCTATTATACAAACACACAATCCCACCTGGGCTGATTGACAGCAATTATTACTGACCTTTGGAACGTAAATGGTGCTGACATGATCCATCTAAAGGCCTATCAACAAGCCATTATTGCTGACATGAAGGCAGGAGGGAAAAAGGCAATTAACATGTCCAGGACGGCTGAAGTGTTACAAAAAGCTAATGAATCACCCAGTGCTTTTTATGAGAGACTGCTTGAGTCAAATAGATTGTACACTCCTTTCAATCCTGAAGCCCCTGAAAACTTCCAAATAATTAACTCAGCATTTGTCAGCCAGGCCCAGAGCGATATTAAGAGAAAGCTACAAAAATTAGAGGGAATTGCAGGGATATCCATACCACAGCTAATGGAGGTTGCAAATAAGGTGTATATGAATAGGGAAACTGAGACAAAGCGTGAGGAGGAACGTAAAATGAGGAAGAAGGCAGATATGCTAGCGGTAGCTATCAGAAGTGTAGAAAGACAGGGAAGGGAAGTGAATAAAGGAGTCGAGAATTGGCTGAGTAAGGGACCGTTAAGTAGGAATCAAAGTGCATATTTGGCACTCACAGTATGAGTGTAGGGGATCTGTATCTAAGTGTAGATATTTAGATATAGATTACAGTGTGTGCAAACCAATATCAGGTAAGCCCAAGTGTTTCAATCCCCAATTCCAACCCCGTACAATTAGGTTGGCAATTCGGAACAGTTACTCCCAGGGGACCTTAATAAATAAGACTGTGATAAGCACCATACATTCTATGGGCATTCTACTATTTGATGCATGTAAGGCGATCTCGGTTAGTGGAAAACCTTGGAATGTATGTGGTAATCTTAAATGGGAATGAACTTATGGGTTTAATGATAAATATTTATGTCCCAGTAAAAGATCTACTGATCCTGACTGCCCAAATAGAGACTTTAACTTCTGCCACTATTTGTCATGTGTTGGTTGGGCGACCTGGGGAAAGACAGTAGATCAAGATATGATTATCCAAAGGTTGCCCACTGCACCGTATTGTAAAACTATGGAGTGTAACCCTGTGCATATGACCATTTGCAATCCACAGCACTTCATTGACAAGTTTGGGAATTTCTTTGGGTTTCAAAATACATGGTACAGGAGTAGATCCAGGGACCATAATATATGTAGGACTTGAAACTGAGACGACAGCTTCTCAAACTCAAACAGGTTTTTCATTCCTTCTATGAGGAGATGAGTGTTGAGGATAAAATTCCCCATATTGTTAAGAACTTATGTATTGATTTGGCGGAGAGTATTGCAGGTAGTCTTAATATAACTAGCTGCTTTGTATGTGGAGGTACTAATATAGGAGACCAATGGCCATGGGAGACGAGAGGTTTGGTACCTTGGTTCTGAGACAGATGAACAACAGATTCTTTCTCAGTCTGATCATCAAGTAAGTACTAGAGGTAAATCAGAATGGCGTTTAAAAACATCTATCATAGGCCATGTATGTTTAGCTAGAAGAGGGCCACTGTATAATAGAGTTAACCTGCTTAGGACAGAAGGACTATAATTCTGATACAAAAGATACTACTTGGTGGTCAGCTTCAAATGTCTCAGATCCTACTAATCCTTTTGCCAATTACACCAATTTAAAAGAGGTATGGCTTGACTTATCAGCTTCATCCAGTTGGAAAACCCCAGCGAATTTGTACTGGATCTGTGGTAAGAAAGCATATTCAGAGTTACCACAAGATTGAGAGGGAGCATATGTACTAGGTACGCTCAAACCATCCTACTTGTTGTCAATTGAGACAGGTGTGACCTTGGGAGTTAAGGTTTATGATGTGAATCATAAAAAGAAGCGAGCATCCTTGAATATAGTTAGTTGGGAAGATGAGTGGCCTCCCCAACGTATCATAAATTACTATGGACCTGCTACTTGGGCAGAAGATGGTACTTATGGATATAGAATCCCAATATATATGCTCAACCGTATTATAAGACTACAGGCGGTGGTTGAGATTATCACCAATGAAACAGCGCAAGCACTTAATCTTCAAGCTAAGCAAAATACTCGGATGAGATCAGCCATCTATCAAAATAGATTAGCTCTGGACTACTTATTAGCAGTAGAGGGAGGTGTATGCGGAAAGTTTAATCTTAGCAACTGTTGTTTGCACATAGATGATGAAGGGCGGGCAGTGGCTGAACTTACAAGCCACATGGTTAAACTGACGCTGGTCCATGGCTACTTGAGTGGTATTGGCAAATTATGATTAGTGATGCATCTGGAATAACTTTGTATCAGAAGCATCAAAGGGGGAATGTGATGGGATTTCAACATGGTTCAAAATTTAGTAGGCCTGAAATCTCCATGTGGCATATACAAGTACAAGTGTTTGTTGTATCTGTTAGTTAGTTAGTTAGTTACATGTAGCTAAGATATCAATGTACTGAGCATGTGCATCAACTGTAGTCATATTCCTTTGTCCTTAAAATGAGTCATACGGTCTGCCCATATTAGTTGATCCTGAATATCCTATTCACTGATTGGTCTAAGGGTATGTGTGAATGGAGCTATGAATGGGAGGAGTTATTGTTAATAAATAGCCTGTTCAAACTATGCTCTGTGCTTTTGAACACAAGTTCAGTGTGAGACCCGATCAGTGTGTAAATAAAAGAGCTGTTACTTCCCGAAGACTTGTGTCCATATCTCTATGTGTGGCTTCTGCGGTTTGTTCCTGTTATCCCTCCGGTAACAGTACATTTGCGAACTGCGATGCACTTCATATCTGAGAGTCAAATAGAACCGTCAAATACTGTGGTTACATCGCACTTTGAAAAATTCACATTTCTTTGCTGCTAAAAAGTAAATTTGGGTGTCCACTTCATATCCGAGAGTCAAAAAGAACCGTCAAATACTGCTGTGACATTGCAGTTTGACTAATACACTTTTTTTTGGTGCTAAAAAGTACATTTGTGGCGTGCACTTCATATCTGCGAGTCAAATACTGCTGTGACATAGCAGTTTTAAAAATTCAAATTCTTTAGGTGCTAAATAGTAAATTTGGGGCCTGCACTTCATATCTGAGAGTCAAATAGTAAAGTCAAATACTGCTGTGACATAGCAGTTTTAAAAATTCTAATTCTTTAGGTGCTAAATAGTAAATTTGGGGCCTGCACTTCATATCTGAGAGTCAAATAGTACAGTCAAATACTGCTGTGACATAGCAGTTTTAAAATTTCGAATTCTTTAGGTGCTAAAAAGTAAATTTGGGGCCTGTACTTCATATCTGAGAGCCAAATAGAACCGTCAAATACTGTGCTTACATTGCAGTTTTAAAAATTAAAAATTTTTAGGTGCTAAATAGTAAATTTGGGGCCTGCACTTTATATCTGAGAGTCAAATAGAACCGTCAAATACTGTGGTTACAGCGCATTTTTAAACATTCAAATTCTTTAGGTGCTAAATAGTACATTTGGAGTGTGCACTTCATATCTGGTGTATGTGTGCAACACTAGCTAGTTACGGCTTCTGAAGAAAGTCTAAAGAGTTTTTAAAAAAGTAAAAAATAAGTGTTATTGTGATTGATTCATATACAGAAGCATTAATATACATTCCTATATTGTGTAAAGACACAACTACAAAGTTAAAAACCAAACACCAAAACAACGTGCCAGACAATCTACCTGTGCATGGCTAGTGTGATACAATAAGTCTACATCTTAAAAATGCAATAACCCATAGAAGATGTGCGAGAATTATTTTTTGCAAATGGAACTTTGATTCGAATTTACTACATCGGTCACTTGTAATATTGTTTCACACCTACAACACTTGTTAAACAGATCTAAGTGATAGAAAACAGATTGATATTTTCTACACTAGAAACTACCAGATAACAAGCTGCTATATTTAAACCAGTTATCAATAGCTAAGAGGTACTTAAACAACATTCTGGGGCAATACACTCACAAGTGAAACTGAGAGGTCAGTTTATAGGGAAAACTGTTGCCTGGATACAATTCTAGAACAATTTCCATATGTCCTTTGCAGACTTTACATGCTGGAAAAATACAGGTGCCAACTGCTGTGGTTTCCTGCAGGGGCAGGGTTGAGGAGTGGGTGGAAGATGATGTGGAGGATGATGAGGTCCTAGACCCCACATGGAATGAAGGTCATGTGAGTGATATGTGCAGTTTGGAGGAAGAGGCGGTGTTTCTCATAGAGGAACCAGCACAGCATAAGAGGGAGCAGGGTGCAAAAACGGAGCGGCCATCCCCTAGCGCTCGTCGGCATGAATTATCTCTAGAAATACCACAGTTATCCAAGTAACAGATGGAGCGATCAAAGGAACCATAACTGATTTAATAAGCCATTCGCAATATCACTGTAGCGTCTGTGCGCGCTTTTGGCGTTCTCACCCTGCTGCTCGGCTGTCTGTGCTGCAGCGTAACTTTGGCCTTCCTGCTCACCGCCTCATATGTGATGTGCCCACAAGGTGGAGCTCCACCTTGCACATGCTGGAGAGACTGTGCGAGCAGCAGCAGGCGATAGTGGAGTTTGTGCTGCAGCATGTATGGGTCAGTCACTCTGCACCAGACTTGCCCTCCAATAGATCCTCGTTAAGTGATTAAAAGTGGACTCATTCCAATTACAGAGCCTGGAAAGAGTCCTGTATTGTTATTTATCGTCACTACCTCCCCGCGTCAGGAGTGGGTCATTTGTGCGCCTGCTGCCTTCCTTGGATGTGGTAGCCATTTCTCAGGCTCCCTCTCCGGTATCGAACCCTGATTCTCCCGTTACCTGTGGTCACCATGGTAGACGCAGAAAGTGACATTGAAAGTTGATAGGGCAGACATCCTCCTCAACCTCCTACTCCACATCCACTTCCTCCTCCTAGAGCAGGGTGCAAAAGCGGAGCAGCCGTCCCCTAGACAGTACGCCTGCTACTGCCCTCCACACCCAGGGTCCGAGCACACCAAAGCCAGCTCTAAGGAGTTTCCTGGTGTGGCAGTTTGAACGAGGAGAACCCAGTCGATTCCTGTGGCACCTCCCGATAGGAAAACAGGAGATGTGGCAGGAATCTCTCTCAATCATTGTGAGTCGCCACAAAGGTACGGAGCATTTGCTTCAACGTACCGTTGAAGCGCTCACACAGGCCATTGGTCTGGAGGTGGTAAGGGGAGCTCAGGATTGGTTTAATGTGCGCAATCTCCACAGTTGGAGGCTCATTTCGGCAGTAAACTGAGTGCCCTGGTCTGAGAGAATCTCCCGGGGAAAACCCATCCGGGAGAACACTTGCATCAAGGCTTCAGCCACAGTCTCTGCCCGAATACTGCTCTGGGTACCGAGTCGCGATGGTCAGAATGTACTTCTTCCCTATGATGGTCAGAATGTACTTCTTCCCAGAGGGACTAGGCTTGGCTAGGGGACCTATAATGTTGATAGCTACTCTGCCGAACGGATCTTCACTAATAGGTAGGGGATGGAGGGGGCCCTGTGCCGGTCCCTTCTTTTCCCCACTCTCTGGCAGACATCTGGCAGTACTGCCTCAGATCCTAAGAGTTGCCTGGCCAGAAGAAGCTTTGGGTGAGTTGAGACACTGTCCAGCTCCTGCCCAAATGCCCTGCTAAGGGGATATCATGAACTAGCTTCAGCAGCTTATACCAATACTTCTTGAGTCTGTGGCTGGCGGTCTCTCACCAGCCGGGTTGTTGGGGAGCCCATTGAAAAAGTGCTCTAGCATGACGAGGTGGGTGATCTCCTTCTGGGAACTTGGCTTGATGGGAGCTGAGCCCGTTCTGGGTGGCCCTTGTGATGCGGCTTGCCCACTCCACATGGGAGTCCTCTCCTTTCCAGGTCTCCCTAAACTGTCAGCGGTATTGCTCGGGGGTGACCGCATACCGGGCCAGGAGGATTTGTGTAATAATTGGATAGTCTCTGATCTGCACTTCTGGTACAGCCCAGTAAATATCCGCTGCCTTACCCACTAGTTTGCTGGCCAGGATGGTCACCCAGTCGCTGGGGTCCACGTCTTGGAGTAGGCACTGACGCTCAAAGTCTTGTAAAAAGTCATCAATGCTTTCTTCTACTTCCTTGAACTCTTTGAAGGCATTGTATGGTAGCTTGTGGGCCAGGGTGGTTGTGCTTATCGACGCCCTCTGCTCCCTTCTTACTTCATCTGGGTTCATGGAAGTCGCCCTCTGTCTATTGGCAAGGACATAGGCTTGCACCTCCAAAAAGGTGTTGCTGACGATCTCCTCTGAGGGTGGCTCTCTGTAATATGCCAGGCGCCGGTCCACCTCCTTGCGTACTTCCTCCTCATCTCTGGCTCCTGGCTGGGGTTCGTTGCCTCACTACGTGCCTGGTCGTCCTCCATGAGCACAGCAGTCAATTTTGCCTTGTTACGCCCACCAGGTGTTATTCCTCTGGCTCCACACAAGTCCTGCAGTGTAGGTCGCTTTAGAGCACTGTAGTCCATGGGTCTGTTGGCAGGGACATGGGATTCCACCGCTTGCCACCAATTGAAGCGGGACCTTGGTAACCGATGGTTATCCCCTTTCATTAGAATAGGTCAGACCCAGGGGCGTGTCCGACTTCCGGCGAGTACGGACGCATGGCTTGAGAGCTCCGCTGAAAATCCAGCCTGATAGCGACAATGACAGCAAGAAACTGCAAATTTTTCTAAATACCCACGCTCCCAAGGTGATACCCCACGACTATGTCACCCCCCAAACAGTTGAAGATCATGGACGCGGTGAAAACCCGGAAAAAAGACCGGAGAAAAGAAAGACAAGATGGCGGCGACACACCTGGCATGTCGGACGACCTGTCAGACGCTGAGTCATTCTCCTCCAAACTATCGGACTCTACGATCACAGAATGAAGTCTGCATAGAATGCTGCAAGACCTCCGTTCTACCATTAGGAAGGATTTCCTACAAATCGACAGTGAACTGAGGAAGGAAATTTCAACACTGGGTGACAGGACCAGTCATCTAGAAAACAAATCCGACGAGCTGTGTGCAGCTCACAACGAAGTTGTTGATAAACTTCAGAAACTCTCAGAAGACAACAATACACTTCAATTAAAATTAGCAGATCTAAAGGATAGATCCAGAAGACAGAACGTAAGATTCAGGGGTATACCGGATGATATCTCCCACGATGCCCTACCTGCTTATATACTATCTATTTGCAAAACCTTAGCCCCAGACTTGCCTGACTCAGCCTGGACTTTCGACCGCATGCACAGACTTCCACGCCCGGCACGTATGGCGCATGATGTTCCTAAAGACACTATTGTGAAGTTCCATTACTTTGCACACAAGAACACCCTGCTTAACGCAGCAAGGAAGACAGGCATTTTACCTGAACCCTTTCAAAAAATATTTTTATTTGCTGACCTATCGGCTTCCACTATGGCATGTCGAAAAGAATTTATAACCATCACTAAGACCCTACGCAACAATAATATTTCCTACAAGTGGGGTTACCCAACGAAGCTTCTGGTCTGGAGACAAGGCAGAACACTGGTCATAACCGAACCAGCCGAAGGCATGAAGATACTCACCTCCTGGGGTCTTTGGAATGCAACTACAACAACTTCACACGCCGCACCAGCAACAGACCTTTCCCAGAGGAAACTTCAGGCGGATTGGAATATGACGGGATCGTCAACTACAAAACCATGAACTGCCTTCTGTCTTCACACTTGGAAAGCGATGAGTATAACCTACAATGCGATATGTTGGATAAGATCTTAAGTTAAACTGTTTCTTTCTGTGTAACATGTTATTTAAGTTTGTACTGAAGTTCAGCACAATTGACCCTAAAACTTAGTTAAGTTATATGCCTTAACTCATTTTTTCTTAGAAATCGCCTGAATAATATATGATCAGTGTGTAGATATTATGAGAATGTGGTAATGCATAACTGTACATGCCTAACTCGAAGTACACATTGTGACATGGATCCTCTTTTAGCTGCACCTATCAGCCTGGTTTTCCGTGATCGATCACGGTCACTACCTGTCAACTTACTGCAGACTCTAACTTTAATCGGATCGCTGTCCATAAATATGGTAGATTAAAACCATTGCACCTAATACATGCAGCACTATTAGTGCAAAATACCGCTTAACTGATAATGGGCGATTAGACCCACTTAGGATGGCACAATATTATACAACTAGTTACAACTCACTTGACTGTGGAGATAAGCGTACGCGCCTGCATCACCCAAGAGTTTATTAAACACAGTATTTTTCTTTAGATTATTTTATGTTCCTTCCTTTGATGAAATTTCATCTACGGCTTCAAGATTGCAATAAGCAATGCAGCTGTATTTACTATGTCACAAGTACACGATTCCATATACAAGCTTTCACACGTGCATATGCTCTAACTGTACATAGTGCTGGGCGCCGTCTACAGGTTAGAAGCATCTATCCATCATCTACCTGTATACGGTGTGACCCGCCTTATTTTACATCTTTATTTTATATTATACACTTTATATTCTGTTATTCGTGTCTTATGGTTTATAATTCAGCGGTCGGGTCCTACATTCACTGGAAGAGGAAGGACATCCCAAAACGATTTAGCGTAGACGAATCACTATTCGGCAGTGTCGTCCTTCCCAACCCCCCTCTAGCTTAGTATCACCACTATCCGGTTATCATGCTGCTGCCACTATCCCGTGTTTCAGGTCACACTCTAATAGAATTCGAAAACCTATCGCCTGCCGAACGCATCCTCTAGCTCAGGTGACACGTTAGCAAATAAATGATACATTGCCAGTTAGACATTAGCACCACCTTCTTCACTTTCACAAGTATTGCAATTTCCTGCCACTTTGGATCACCTCTCTTCTTATTTTTGTTTTTGTTTCTCTTATGCCTCTCTAAATGTAGTTGCTCACTGTTACGCGACTTACATCAGGCTGTAGGAACTCTCTCTTGCCCCCCAGGTCATGGTTCGAGACACACATAGTGGTCTCAACATGTCCAATCTACACCTTCTCTCCAAAGAAGGAACATTTGTATATAGTTATGTATTTCTTGTTATATCTTTCTCTCTTCCCTTCTTCTCCCTCTACTTGTTACCCTCACATCCGGACACATCACTAAGAAGCCCATCCGTACGTCTTAATGTAAGCAATGCTATACCTGATACTACTAGCTCTATTCTTGTGGAAGCGAACGTTCAGCTTGCCCCTCATATCATAAGGACAAGACACCTAAGCGCAACCACTAATGCTACACAATCAATACAATGGCTAACAAGATGAAAATTTTATCTCTCAATGTCAAAGGCCTCAACAGCCCGTACAAAAGAAGACAAGCTCTAAAAGACATGCACAACTCCAATGCCGCTATAGTATGCCTCCAAGAAACTCATTTCTGTAAAAAGAACCCTCCTAATCTACGATCCTCCAAATACCCCATAGCTTATCATGCTTATGCGCCAAACAAATCAAAAGGAGTAGCCATCTTACTACATGCAGACTGGGTATTCACCCCTACCACACAACATGCTGACCCAAATGGGAGATTGCTAATCATAGTGGGAGACCTCAACGGGATCCAAGTGACGATAGCATCCTTATATGCACCAACTTAGGCTCAATTCTCCTTTCTCAATAAAGCCATAAAGAAAATCTCCTCACTAAAACAAGGACATGTTATAATTTGCGGCGACTGCAACTGTACACTAGACCCTACATTAGATGTTCAACGTGCCAATGATAAAAAGCCTAACAAACTAACCATCCACAACAGCAAATCATTTTCCAATCTTATTTTTTCGTACGATCTCTACGATACGTGGAGAAACCTATTCCCAGCTGCCAAGGATTTCACTTACTTCTCCCCGGTCCACTTAACATATACCCGAATAGATATCTGCTTGATAGATAAATCCACATTGCCTCACCTTTTAGATCAAAT